ACAAACAGATCAATGTTAGTCAAAAACAGATCAATGCTAGTCACAAACAGATCAATGTTAGTCACAAACAGAGCAATGTTAGTTACAAACAAATCAATGTTAGTTACAAACAAATCAATGTTAGTCACAAACAGATCAATGTACTATAAGACATATACAACACAAGTGACTATTATATATCAATACACAAGTAGATATTGCAAAGGCCTAAAAATTATGATACAAGTAGTTATCGCATCGATAATTTGTTACTGGTGTAGTAGGGTTAGGGACATGTACAAGAGGGTGTCGCCAAATCTTCGCGTTGTGTTCTAAATTTCGAAGATTTTCGAAGTAGCGCTTCCTAGTTGTATCAGCACCTACTACGCCCAAGTTCTGTGTGCCAATGGCATATAGTGAAAAACCACAAAGAGCTGTATATAAAGTTTAACAGTTTAATATATTAACAAGAAGATGATGATATTTACAATGAGGTGATTTTAGCTTTTGACATTAGCCTTAGTCGTAATAACATAATAATAAAATACTGACTAGTGTATAAAGTTTGAAGTATATCAAAAGGCCAAAGTGACTAATAATTACTGACGAATCTCGACGTAAAGGTGATATAACAAGTATAAAGTTGGCAAATGAATGGGGTATAGAATAAATATGAAACTGGTGTGCCCTAGGTATAACTACCCACCTGTATAGGTGTTCCTCTACATATAAGTGAGGGTCACGTGTATGCGTAATAACCACCCGACCAAGCCGACTGTAAGTTCAAATACTAAACCTCCATAACACTCACTACTTCCCAAAACTACACACTACATTATGACCAGCCCCCTACCCAAAACTACACACTACATTATGACCGGCCCCCTAACCAAAACTACACACTACATTATGACCAATCCCCTAACCAAAACTACACACTACATTATGACCAGCCCCCTACTCAAAACTACACACTACATTATGACCAGCCCCCTACCCAAAACTACACACTACATTATGACCAGCCCCCTACCCAAAAGCTGTGTACTTCGAAAACATTCCGCTGACGGAACGAGTGATAACAAAGTATATATATATATATATATATATCATGTATATGTGTTACACTGATGAGTCGCAAGACTCAAAGTTAATAAAGAACTTGAACTTGAACCAAACTACGGACCGGACTCCTACATCGCTGACGGGACGAGTTATAAGAGTAACGAAATAACTAACAGATAAGAAGAGTATACCGGAATACAAATAACGCACGATATTACGTAATGGAACCTAGAGGTGACTAACAATCTCCACTAGCCAAATGACACGTGTACAGTGTCACGATATACAAAGGTGTGTATAACTCTAAAATTCATAACGGCAAAATCCGCCTCTGCCATACTACATTTAATTGAACCTGTAATCAGGACAAACCACTGCCACACAAATATATGGTTTGTGTACACTTGTACTAGTATACCTTGTGTTGACACTAAGGAGAAACAATGTAACATGTATACAACAAAAGGTTAAAGTAGTGCTACACAATTATGTTGTATTGTGACAATTTAAAAATACGTTCACTGAAGATCACTATCCACTATAGGCGAAACACTAGGGGATTCTGTTAAACTGTTTCTTACGTGTACAAATGTATTTACAATACAATAAACTCCTTTTAATATTTACTATCCCTAAAGTGAAAGCGAGCCAGGCACCTACATATAGGAAATACGACATTAAGATTTTGAAAGTTAAACAGCTCGGCATACGATACCTAACATACCAACTCTCCTCTCTCTTACCATACCCACTCTCCTGTCTCTATTTTACCTTTTCTTTTGTTGATGAGGCAGAGAGATCTTTGCTCCATAAAACATATAAATTGAAAGATGATTGTCAGTTATAAGGCACTGCTTCATGAGTAGCTAGATTGTGTCGTGTCCATTAGTAAAGGTATGTGTGATTTCATAACTACCCTCTGTCAAAACACACTTAATCAATCCATGTAAATGTATATCTGACAAGAAATGTAAACCCTTACAAATAAAGGATTTTAAAGTGTACTATTGGCAGTACAGTAACGACACATAGCCCATTTATCAAATTCCAATCTAATTCTGTAAACTGATACATAATGCTACACATACACATGTATGTACTTCCAAATCAATTGTCTAAGGGCTCTTCATGGTTTAGTGATCTCACAGGAACATTGATCAAAGGAAGATAATTCATTGTAACAACTGAATTTTAACGACGTAATATCATTCACCAGGGAATCACTCTGACAGGACTTAACGGAGTGTGATGGCTATAATCTTAACCAATAAAACTCTATATTGAGTCTGAACGAAATCCTTTCAAATTAATAGATAATTCAGAATGATTTCATACAGCTTTTGCAACACTACTCTGCATGATCATATTGTTTTCTGACATCAAAGACCGTAATATTTATGAACAGCATTGAATACGATATACTATGTTATATGGATTGCCATATAAGTGTATACGTCAAAAGAGGTGCTGTCAATACTTGTATCTACAACAGGATAAACTATAATTCTACATCATATATAGCACACCTCCTGTCAACAAGTGGCACCACGACAATATATGTGACGAACAATTAGATTTGAACAATGTGTTGGATATTTGGCTGACTACAGAATGGTGTTATGAATAGATACAGTGTATTACATTATACACGACTTACAGACAAGCACACGTCCAAAGAAAAAATAATCTAAATAGCCATATAAGACAATTGGACCTATCGTGAAATAATTGTAACCAACTAAAAGGACTGGCTATTGATCTTAGTGCAGAAATGATATGATGACGTTCTATCAAACCCAACCATTTTCTCGAAACAGCAAAGATAAAACTACAGTGTCAATGACAAACATACTCACTTGTTTCCGCCACTGGGTATGTTTAATCACCATCTACTTTGTCATATGGTACTGTCTTTACACCCGCTTATATGACTTGGAAAACAGATCAGGCAAGGTAATCAGATAAACATATGATATAGACTATCATATCGTAACAACCAACTTCCTACACAAGTAAACAGTAAAATGAAACACCGTGTATTCGTGCAGGTGTATTAGACATGTGAATACAATCTGGTCATGTACAAGTACATTAGGTAATATTGAACAAGTACGTATACGCCATACCGATAGATAACTTATGTTTATAGCGTCCTACAGTATATTAACACGAAGAGCTAACCTGATAGTTTGATCTATCAACTTTCATTCACACTGTTCAAATCAATAACACGATACTAACCGTCGATCTGAATAAAGGAATTGTTAAACACAATTATGCTGTATTGTGACAATTTAAAAATTAACGTTCACTGAATATCACTATCTCACGGTAGGCGAAACACTAGGGGATTCTATTAAACTGTTTCATACATGTATTTACAATTTAGTAAACTCCTGTTATTTTTTACTATCCCTGAAGTGAAAGCGAGCCAGGCACCTACATCTACATACGACATTACGGCATGCGATATCTAACATACCAACTCTCCTCTCTCTTACCATACCCATTCTCCTCTCTCTTACCATACCCACTCTCCTGTCTCTTATTAACCATACCAACCCGCATTGCTCTAATTAACCATTTCTTGTGTTGTTGAGGCATAGAGATCTTTGCTCCATAAAACATATAAATTGAAAGACGATTGTCAGTTATAAGGCACTACATCATGAGTAGCTAGATTGTGTCGTGTCCATTGGTAAAGGTATGTGTGATTTCATAACTACCCTCTGTCAAAACACACATAATCAATCCATGTACATGTATATCTGACAAAAAATGTAAACCCTTACAAATAAAGGACTTTAACATGGACTATTGACAGTACAGTAACGTCACATAGCCCATTTATCAAATTCCAATCTAATTCTGTAAATAAAGGCAAACTCTTATGGTAGTTGCTGATACATAGTGCTACATACACACATGTATGTACTTCCAAATCAATTGTCTAAGAAGCTTTATCGTAGGCTGTTCATGGTTTAGTGATTTCACAGGAACATTGATCAAAGGAAGATAATTCATTGTAACAACTGAATTTTAACGAAGTAATACTATTCACAAGGGAATGACTCTTACAGGACTTAACGGAGTGTGATGTCTATAATCTTTACCAATAAAACTCAATATTGAGTCTGAACGAAATCATATCAAATTAATAGATAATTCAGAATGATTTCATACAGCTTTTGCAAAACTACTCTGCATGATCATATTGTTTTCTGACATCAAAGACCGTAATAGTTATGAACAGCATTGAATACGATACATTATGTTATACATATATAGTATACCTTCAAATTGAAAATTAAAAACAAATCATCTAAATCTGCTTTCAATTCTTCCACTGTTAGGTTATAACGTTCGTCATTTTCAGTAAGCTGGATGTCTTCATCCAAGACTTAGTACTGTACCTAAAACTGTTTTAAAACATGTATAAAAATGTGCATACTACATGATATGATATTGTTTAAACTCACTTTGTCAGCAAGGACATTTGCTAAAACCTCAAGGAATACAACGTTTATCTGCTATGTGCCTTTTTGTATGACGCTAATATTTTCTAGCAAATACAAAACTGTAGTAAACAAATATAACCATGACAGGGCATGTGTAACGGGATTATAGTGCTATTTTACAGAAGAATAATGCCCCGACTTCATTTAAACGCCTTAATTGTGTTATTGGTGCGATTTTGCAGCATTTTCCAGTGGTTTTGAAAAGATTTTTTAAGTTGCAAGTATCCAACACAAAGCAGGCAGTTAATTCTAATAAATTCATAGTACCCCATTACATTTCTTTTGATTTTTTCATAACAATAGACCGTGAAATATGAGTGAAAAGAGGATATTCTTACTGCTATTGGATAAAAATGAATCCCTAGATTATCCTATGGCGAATTTTCGTGAGAGAGAGAGAGATACAATAATCAGATTAGCACCATATGCTAGAACTTAGATTCGTTGTGTTATTTTTTGCTCTTTTCAGATGTTTATAAAATAAACAAAACAAAAAATGACTATTTTATCTTTTCCTGTTGTTGCAGAAGTAATACAGCTGATGTTTTTTACCAGACATTAATCAATTTTCAAAAGCTTTGTACCAACAGCCCAGTCACTTACATGTACATATAGAATAATATGAGAAAGATGCAAACAGAAGTAACAAGCATACTGAGTTTTGCTAAAGCAATACATGTCCCCTACCGGCCCCCGTTTGCTATTACAATGTAATGATTTAGAAAATTGGTGCCCTTTGGTGATAATTTGGGAAAATGAAAAGTATACAATTAGCTTGTTATTGATTTTAATGTAATAATAATACAAGAAATTGTAATGTTAGTATTATGACAGAGGAATTATATAAAATAAAATGATTGTTATATTTTGTTGCTTTTGTGGTATTAAATCAATTACCAGCAAGGTGGATTAAGAGACGTGATTATCATCACCAATGTGTAATAATGTATTACTTATCCAGTTTAATTCAGTTCATTATTGCTCTTTTAACAGCATAACGGCCCCTTGAACTTGAAAGTTATATTTTGTCTGTAGGTATCCTAATGTTTCTAAACAATAATGTTTGCATGCTATTTCAAATATGTCCCGAGATAGTATGGTCCTTTGTAATTTGTGAAGTTTGATAAAAAAATCCCTGAAGGAATGAAGCCGCTAGAGCGCCGACAAGGATTTTCTATAATTAGTAACGGTGACCTTAACCTTGACCCAACAACCCTGAAACTCAAACTTGTCCGAGATATTTTTTATCCTTTGTAATTGTGTGTAGTTTGATCTAAATCCCTCAAGGAATGAAGCCGCTAGAGCGATGATAAGGATTTTCTAAAAATAGTAAGGGTGACATTGACCTTGACCTAACAACCCTGAAATTTAAACTTGTCCGAGATATTATGGCGCTGACAAACATTGGTGTTACGTTCGTACGTACGTACGACCGTACGTTCGTACACAGACGGACGGAGAGGAAAACTATAGTCCCCCCGGTTACACCAGTAGGGAACTAATAATGAAAGTCTACATGTTTATGTATTTTCTCACAACTTGAATTTTCATAAGCCTTTGATTCCGACTGATTAAGAATATGAATGAAATATATCAACGTTTTAAGCAGCGTTTTAAATATTCAAATCTAACCAAGAAAGAAACACAATTGGCGTGTTTGTGTCAAAAGCAACATTATTTTTCACAAGACCACTTATACAAGTCCTAACGCCCTTTTACAGCAACATAGTAATTTTATACGTGGCCAGATTACAATTCTTTTGAAATAAGACCTAATGTTTCCGGATGGACTGCAATATCCATCGTTTAATTCGCTATCTCAACTACATCAATTTATTTCAAAATTGTCTTTCTAATACACTCACCTTTTTAACTTATAGCCCAGGCTACCTTGGTGAAAGATAAGTACTCTTGCACTGTCTACTGCCATTTTATAAAGAATCTTTATAGGTTATATTGTCTAAGATCCAATTTGTCCCAATATATCAATTTGATATACACTGTAGATACTGTTAGCCTCTACTTTCGTTTTGACAGCCACATACACGCCATATAACCTTCCGGGGCAAAATGGACAGGTCGAGGTCACTTTAATTTTTCAGCTAGTTTTTGTAAAGATGAACATTTTTCTTTCTGGAACAGTGAGAAATTAGATAGTCGTTTAAAACAAATATTAAACTGCATATAACATAATGCTATCTCAATTTTATGTTGCTTCTACTTACTTTGTTGGAACATATATGGGAGCTTTATGGTTATTTCAAGGAATTGAAGGGATGTTTGCAAGTGACGTATGAGATAACTATCGACATTTTAAAGTTCATAACTTCCAATGCTTCCATTACGATTCTACTTTGTATATTACTTTTTTGTTTACATTTATATGTACACAAACAAAACAAATATTTATATTTTTAAAGTTTCTTTTTTTTCTCTCTCAATAAAATGGAGTCTTATCTTGCTAAATGCAAAATAGATTTATGTACGACTACATTCAACAACTGAAATGAACGACTAAAAGAAAAGAATAGAAGGGAAAATTTTCAATGGGGTGTCTTTGTTTACCCATATTTGCAGTTTCCGGTAGCTAATTTTGTTGTAATAATAATAATAATAAATCAAGGTTCATATAAACCGACTTATCAAAACCTAGCTCGTAGGTCGTCTCAGAGCGGGTCACAAATTATAATCCGTGGCTATAGGGCCTTTGCAACCAGCAATATCTTTCTCAACTCCTTGGGGAGCATATACAGCCGGTGCTGCCATTTCGGCGCTAATAGCTAGCATTCAACCATTCTAGCACTGCCTAACCACGTACTCATTTACAGCTGAGTAGACTGAAACAAGCGGAGTAAAGTGTTTTGCTCAAAGATACAACACAGTGCCGTGTCGTGACTCGAACCCGCAACCCTTCGGTCACGAGTCCGGCGTCCTACCACTAGACTAGCGTGCCTCCGAAGAACGAGTCACTCGTACGCGTGTCGCCTACTATTTGAGGTTCTACCAACGGCCAATGGATGAAGATAGAATAAAAACCTTGCCTGACATCTGCCATGTATCACACAGTGTTTTTTCTTTTAGAAAATCTCGTTTTCTCGGAGACTTACAATTTCGCTAATCTTTAAATTACGACGATACGTAGGCCAGCCGATATTGTCAGTTTGAACAAGTCACCAAGAGATATCATTCCTTTAGCTGCACACAACTATTCCAGTTGTCTTTTTACTGTCGGAAATGTTTTATTACTAGTCCAACTCTTAACGTCTGCGAGAGCCGCCAGGGAAGTGTTCGTGCCTTCGGGATTGACGCCTCTCAGATATCGTTATAATCGTTATTACTTTACAGTATACCTTGTTAAACGCGCCCTTTGGGTTGTTCCTCGTTTTGGCGTAATCTTTCGTAACATGTGTACGGGTAAATCACTTATTGCTTTCCTTCGATCGACATCGCGGCAGGTAGACTGTTTTTTCGATGGGGCATCAAATTGATGCGTATAATGTGACGTGTCGTTCGGATGTCTTCTTCTTATGACTTTTATATTACTTTTCTTAGTGAAAGATTGAGATAGAGCAAATCAGACAAACGTGATATATAGGCATGATGATGATTTAAATGCGTTAAAAAGCGTCCTATTCATGTACTTTTTTTCGGGGATATATAGTCGTCATCGATCTAAAATTAATTTTATTTTGGCAAGCCTAACCTTTGAACTAATGCTAATTTCTTTTCTTTAACCTTTTTCGTTTTTAAAACTTCTTCTAACTGCCAAACGTGTCTTTATTCTTTATTCACTCTCTCCAATTCGTGACCGTAAAAAATCCCTGTATTCCCATCGAATGTTTAAGCTTTATTCACGGGAGTTTTATGAACGGTAAAACCTGTGACCAACTACGAATATTTCATATTTCTCCGGTCCGCTTCTGCTACCATTCGTGACGATACTCGATTTTTTTTTCAAATTCAATCTCATTTGGTCCCCTTTTCTAAACTGATAAATTATTTTCTTAGAAGGCTCGTCATCCTCTCAGCCAAACTGTACAGACCCGAATGTTTTTTGCTGTTATAACTTCGAATGAGGTCTATTAATACGTCGGTGAACTTGTATGTCTGCTTCGAGTGAAAGTACTTATACAAAGTATTTTTCAGCTGATCTATAAATGATTCGGTAAAATCAGCTTTATAAACACTGTGACTTGCTCTGTGTGTGTGGCGCCGATTGATTTATGTACAAAACCGCTTTAACGAGTCGTTCAGGAACTCCTTTCCGTGATCGGATCTGACTAAAGTTGGTTTTCTTTCCGCAAACATTGTTTTTGAAAGCGTCCAATACGGTGTTGGCTTTCTTGTTTTTGAGAGGCGCGACCCAAGTATACCCGAAAAAAAATCTATAAGTACAAGCAAAACGCATTCGCCGTCGTTATGGTCTTTTTGTAAGTTGATGTAAGGCACATGGGCTACATTCAACACAAACTAAAGAAGTCTTAGCACTGGGCGTCTTGTGTTTCACTTGTCTTCGAAAGCTGTAAGTCGATGATCAGCTTGAATCCAAGCGGAAAGTCATTACGCCTTTTTTATGCTTGATATCTACATCCACGCGAGTCAGAAAACATTAGCAGAGCCAGAAACATATTGACGAAGTCAGAAAACATAAGCAGAGCCAGAAACATATTGACGAAGTCAGACATACATTAACGGAGTCTGATATACATAAACGAAGCCAGAATAATATTAGCGAAGCAAGTAATACGTTTTATTCTATATACATTCATCGGACGCTACATTTTACTACAAAAATGACACGCCATTTTCGCACATTCTCGATGTCAAACCAGTAAATTCGGATAGGCCTCCAAATCAATCACCAATTGGATCTTAGAGAAGAACGTTCATTCCTATTCGATTCATTATATTACCTTGCTAATATACATGCATATGGTGTATATAGATATATAAAACTTCATTAACAATCATCGCAGAGAAAGGTTACATACTGATTTCATATTGAATATCATGTGTATTCCAGAAATAAACATACAACCAAAGTAACATGGCATTTAAAGAGAAATATTTATTGTTTGTTAACTTTTATACCTCAACTTATATACACAGATGCCTCAATTTGAACATAAAAATTAGATCCAGAAATATTTAAACATAGAAATTATATACAAACATGTTAAACCTCATCCGTCAGGACATCATTGTTCTTGCTACCAATATGATCATTGTTCCTTATACTTTATCAGTAAGTGGACTTTTTCGTACTCAATTCGGCTTGATGTTGCAAACACGCAAATGGACGCAATTCCTTATTGCTTTAGTGTTAATGCCAACAGAAGACAATTTTTTCATTAGACGATGACTACGTCAGCTGTGACGTCAACAGACTCATCTAATCGTGACATAAGTAAGGCGGTGAATTCCTCCTGGGAGCTGTATACAGACGACACGTTTAAGGTGCGTGTGTCCGGGTCAAACATCGGCGGCTCGGATACCGACTGTGGATGGAACCGCGTGTACAGCTGGTCCGCACACAGACAGTCAAAATAGCACCACCTCGTCAGCATCCGGGCCATTTGATCGGTCGTCATTTTCATGATGGCCACTTCAAGATACATCTTAGTTCGCTTCTCCTCCATATCTATACACGTGTTATGTTCCGTGGGGCTAAAAATAAAGTTTACTTTCTCGAATAACGTTAGAGCATTTGGCGACAGTCGGGCATACAACTTGAACACGTCGTGTTCGGTAATGACCGGCAGATTTCCAGAGAAACTTGATATGAACCCCGCACTGATCCCAGACAGAGCCCAGTATGAATTCCGCACTAGGTAGTACCGAGCCAGTCGGAGAATCAGATCATCGAATGTACACGGCTGCGGTTTCACAACGTTTCCGTAGAAACGCAACGTTCTACATAAGTTTCTCAACACTGGAAGTGTAAACTCTGCGATATTTGATCTGATCTCCTTTTTAGCTTCATTCACTACCTTTTTCTCCGATTCGGACATGACATTGTAGAACGATGTGGTTAACTGACTGTCTGAACATTTCTCCGTTAAAATCACCGCTGTGCAAGCTTGTGCCAGTCTGACGGGCCAGTAGTCAAACAGCACCAGTCCATGATACAGTATCCTACCAATAGTGACGTAAAACTCTTCGTCCATGTCGAGGTCAACAACAGGGACATATTCACGGTTTCCCTGAAAGAACCGATGCAATACTTCTCGCCAAAACATAACAAACATTGTGCCTGCTGGGATAGCATTGCTTTGATCAGACGGATACCCATCACAATTCATAAATACCCGTATGTGATGATTTCCAAAACTAGGGTTCGCTCTGTATAGCCTTATCACGTCATCAACTAGGTGGTCTTTCCGGATAGTCACACTCAATGGATTTTGAAGAAGACCTCTGTAAGTTTCGGCGATCACGACAAGTTTAGACTTTGCTGGAAGGAAATACAATTGACATGTGTTAATCGGGTCAAAATATGCCAAGGTGATTTACCTCATAGATGTTACATTTATACTACCAAGTTAGTGACAGATGAAAATATTGCTTTCAGAAACTTACGATTCTCTTTCAAGTAATCGCTTGTGCAATGCCTACCGATGAACGCCATAGAGGTATTGACATTGGACTGGATAACTGGACTGGTAAGTCTTCTCTCTGGTTGTTGGGAGGCCGGTTGGGGCAGTTCATGCGTCTTATGGCAAAGCTCTTCTTGTTCTATCTTCACTGCGACATCACACTCATTCTGTATAGATAATACCAGCATGTTCGGTTACTATGATACAGCCAATGTTGTGTAACTATGATACAGTAAAAGGTTGTGTTACAATGATACAGTAAAATGTTGTGTTACAATAATACAGTAAAATGTTGTGTTACAATGATACAGCAAAATGTTATGTTACAATGATACAGCAAAATGTTGTGTTACAATAATACAGTAAAATGTTGTGTTACAATGATACAGTTAAATGTTGTGTTACAATGATACAGTAAAATGTTGTGTTACAATGATACAGTAAAAAGTTGTGTAATTATAATACAGCAAAATGTTGTGTTACAATGATACAGTAAAATGTTGTGTTAGAATGATACAGTAAAATGTTGTGTTACAATGATACAGTAACATGTTGTGTTACAATGATACAGTAACATGTTGTGTTACAATGATACAGTAAAAAGTTGTGTTACAATGATACAGTAAAATGTTGTGTTACTATGATACAGTAAAATGTTGTGTAACTATAATACAGTAAAATGTTGTGTAACTATAATACAGTAAAATGTTGTGTAACTGTAATACAGTCAAATGTTGTGTAACTGTTATACAGTCAAATGGTGTGTTACTATGATACAGTCAAATGTTGTGTTACTATGATACAGTCAAATGTTGTGTTACTATGATACAGTCAAATGTTATGTTACTATAATACATTCAAACATTGTGTTCCTATGGCACAGTTAAATGATGTGTTCCTATAATACAGTCAAATGATATGTTCCTATGATACAGTCAAATGTTGCGTTACTATGACACAGTCAAATGTTGTGTTCCGATGATACAGTCAAATGTTGTGTTACTATGGCAGTCAAATGTTGTGTTCCTATGATACAGTAAAATGTTGTGTTCCTAAGGCACAGTCAAATGTTGTTTTACTATGAAACAGTCAAATGTTGTGTTACTATGATACAGTAAAATGTTGTGTTACTATGATACAGTAAAATATTGTGTTCCTATGATACAGTCTAATGATGTGGTACTATGCTACAGTCAAATGTTGTGTTACAATAATACAGTCTAATGTTGTTTTACTATGATACAGTCAAATGTTGTGTAACTCTAATACAGTAAAATGTTTTGTTCATATGGCACAGTCAAATGTTGTTTTACTGTAATACAGTAAAATGTTGTGTAACTGTAATACAGTAAAATGTTGTGTAACTGTAATACAGTCAAATGTTGTGTTACTATGATACAGTCAAATGTTGTGTTACTATGATATAGTCAAATGTTGTGTTCCTATGATACAGTCAAATGTTGTGTAACTATGATACAGTCAAACGTTGTGTTACTATGATACAGTCAAATGTTATGTTAATATGATACAGTCAAATGTTGTGTTCCTATGATACAGTCTAATGTTTTGTTCCTATGATACAGTCAAATGTTGTTTTACTATTATACAGACAAATGTTGTGCAACTGTAATACAGTAAAATGTCGTGTAACTATAATACAGTAAAATGTTGTTTAACTGTTATACAGTAAAATGTTGTGTAAGTGTAATACAGTAAAATGTTGTGTAACTGTAAGACAGTCAAATGTTGTGTTACTATGATACAGTCAAATGTTGTGTTACTATGATACAGTCAAGTGTCGTGTTACTATGATACAGTCACATGTTGTGGTTCTATGTTACAGTCAAATATTGTGTTACTATAATAAATTCAAACATTGTTTTACTATGATACAGTTCATTGTTGTATTTTATGGCACATTAAAATGTTGTGTTCCTATGGCACAGTTAAATATTGTGTTCCTATGGCACAGTCAAATGTTTTGTTCCTATGATACAGTCAAATGTTGTGTTACTATGATACAGTAAAATGTTGTGTTCCTATGGCACAGTCAAATGTTGTGTTTCTATGACACAGTAAAATGTTGTGTTCCTATGGCACAGTCAAATGTTGTGTTCCTCTGATACAGTACAATGTTGTGTTACTATGATACAGTCAAATGTTGTGTTCCTATGATACAGTCAAATGTTGTTTTACTATGATAAGTGTAATGTTGTGATCATATGGCACAGTCGAATGATGTGTTACTATGATACAGTAAAATGTTGCGTAACTATAATACAGTCAAATGTTGTGGTTCTATGTTACAGTCAAATGTTGTGTTACTACAATACATTCAAACATTGTTTTACTATGATACTGTTCATTGTTGTGTTTTATGGCACATTAAAATGTTGTGTTCCTATGGCACAGTTAAATGTTGTGTTCCTATGATACAGTCAAATGTTGTGTTCCTATGGCACAGTCAAATGTTGTGTTCCTATGATACAGTACAATGTTGTGTTACTATGATACAGTAAAATGTTGTGTAACTGTAATACAGTACAATGTTGTGTAACTGTAAGACAGTAACATGTTGTGCAACTATAATACAGTCAAATGTTGTGTTACTATGATACAGTAAAATGTTGTGTTCCTATGGCACAGTCAAATGTTGTGTTTCTATGACACAGTAAAATGTTGTGTTCCTATGGCACAGTCAAATGTTGTGTTCCTCTGATACAGTACAATGTTGTGTTACTATGATACAGTCAAATGTTGTGTTCCTATGATACAGTCAAATGTTGTTTTACTATGATAAGTGTAATGTTGTGATCATATGGCACAGTCGAATGTTGTGTTACTATGATACAGTAAAATGTTGCGTAACTATAATACAGTCAAATGTTGTGGTTCTATGTTACAGTCAAATGTTGTGTTACTACAATACATTCAAACATTGTTTTACTATGATACTGTTCATTGTTGTGTTTTATGGCACATTAAAATGTTGTGTTCCTATGGCACAGTTAAATGTTGTGTTCCTATGATACAGTCAAATGTTGTGTTCCTATGGCACAGTCAAATGTTGTGTTCCTATGATACAGTACAATGTTGTGTTACTATGATACAGTAAAATGTTGTGTAACTGTAATACAGTACAATGTTGTGTAACTGTAAGACAGTAACATGTTGTGCAACTATAATACAGTCAAATGTTGTGTTACTATGATACAGTAAAATGTTGTGTTACTATGATACAGTCAAATGTTGTGTTACTATGATACAGTCAAATGTTGTGTTACTATGATACAGTCAAATGTTGCGTTACTATGATACAGTCAAATGTTGTGGTTCTATGTTACAGTCAAATGTTGTGTTACTATAATACATTCAAACATTGTTTTACTATGATACAGTTCATTGTTGTGTTTTATGGCACATTAAAATGTTGTGTTCCTATGGCACAGTTAAATGTTGTGTTCCTATGATACAGTCAAATGTTGTGTTCCTATGGCACAGTCAAATGTTGTGTTCCTATGATACAGTACAATGTTGTGTTACTATGATACAGTAAAATGTTGTGTAACTGTAATACAGTACAATGTTGTGTAACTGTAAGACAGTAACATGTTGTGCAACTATAATACAGTCAAATGTTGTGTTACTATGATACAGTCAAATGTTGTGTTACTATGATACAGTCAAATGTTGTGTTACTATGATACAGTCAAATGTTGTGTTACTATGATACAGTCAAATGTTGTGTTACTATGATACAGTCAAATGTTGTGTTACTTTGATACAGTCACATGTTGTGGTTCTATGTTACAGTCAAATATTGTGTTACTATAATAAATTAAAACATTGATTTACTATGATACAGTTCATTGTTGTATTTTATGGCACATTAAAATTTTGTGTTCCTATGGCACAGTCAAATGTTTTGTTCCTATGATACAGTCCAATGTTGTGTTACTATGATACAGTCAAATGTTGTGTTACTATGATACAGTAGTTGTGTAACTGTAAGACAGTAAGTCAAATGTTGTGTTTCTACGACACAGTAAAATGTTGTGTTCCTATGATACAGTCAAATGTTGTGTTCCTATGGCACAGTCAAATGTTGTGTTTCTATGATACAGTGCAATGTTGTGTTACTATGATACAGTCAAATGTTGTGTTCCTATGATACAGTCAAATGATGTTTTACTATGATAAGTGTAATGTTGTGATCCTATGGCACAGTCGAATGTTGTTTTACTATGATACAGTAAAATGTTGCGTAACTGTAATACAGTAAAAAGTTGTGTAACTGTAAGACAGTAAAATGTTGCGAAACTATAATACAGTCAAATGTTGTTTTACTATGATAAGTGTAATGTTGTGATCATATGGCACAGTCGAATGTTGTGTTACTATGATACAGTGTCTTACTATGATACAGTCAAATGTTGTGTTAATATGAGACAGTAAGACAGTAAAATGTTGCGTAACTACGTGTATAATACAGTCAAATGTTGTGTTACTATGATACAGTCAAATGTTGTCTTACTATGATACAGTCAAATGTTGTGTTAATATGAGACAGTCAAATGTTGCGTTACTATGATACAGTCAAATGTTGTGGTGCTATGGCACAGTCAAATGTTGTGTTCCTATGATACAGTACAAATGTTGTTTTATTATGATAAGTGTAATGTTGTGTTCCTATGGCACGGTCAAATGTTGTGTCCCTATGATACAGTACAATGTTGTGTTACTATGATACAGTCAAATGCTGTGTTACTATGATACAGTCGAATGTTGTGTTACTATGATACAGTCGAATGTTGTGTTACTATGATACAGTAAAATGTTGTGTTACTATAATACATGCCAACATTGTTTTACTTTGATACAGGAAATTGTTGTGTTTTATGGCACAGTTAAATGTTGTGTACCTATGATACAGTCAAACATTGTGTTACTATGATACAGTCAAATGTTGTGAATCGTCTTACCTTGACATGAACAATATATGATTCAGTGTTACTGCCTACACAAGAACTTTCGTTGTTCGGGCAGATACGTCATCCAACTCATTATGTAAACTAAAGCAGTTATGTTATATATTTAAAAAAAAGTAAACGTCTAATGAACAGTAAAAGACACGTTCTTCATTAAAGTTGAAGTTGCAACTTTACCTCATTTCTTATTGAATGACAAGATGACACGATAGGCATTCGCATTGTATTTTGGGAAGTTGTTGACATCATCGCAGAGGACATCTGTGAGGTCAGTCGCGAAGGGGAGGCCACTGGGGAAGATTTAACGTCTACATGTGGCGGTTTAATAACCTCTTGTAGTTCTAAACTACAGTGGTTAATAGGAGTCGTGCATCCCGTATCGGTCTCGTCAAATGTCGAGTGGTCGGTATGGTTCGTTGATACCTGTATGATGTAGTCCTCGCCGGTCCTGTATATGACGGACTGCGGTCGATCATTGTCATTATCCTGGGGATTAATTTGGAGACAACTCGTTAATTGCAAATTTTCTTAATAATATGTAATATTATTATTTGGTAACTAAGCCATGAAGTATTTTATTCATGTGGTAAGATGAGGAGGTATGATGTAATCTTACATATGGTAAAATAAGGAGGTCCAAACGCATTTTCATGGTTTTTGAGCTGATTCTGGTGGTTGGAATGAGAGAAAAATACTCTTTTATGCCCAAGAGTGTAGAATAGGGAAAATCCACCCTCGCAATTTATATATTTGGCAAAACCCTCGGCAAACCCTCGGGTTTTACAAAATTTGAAAACCCCTCTGATGGAATTACCCTATCCTACACCCCTGGGCATTAACGAGACTTATAATCTTACATAGGGTATGATGAGGATGTATGACGTAAAACTACATAGGGTGTGATTAGGTGGTATGACGTATTATTGATTAACTAATTGCATATTGACAATAAAATAAGAAAAGTGCCCAATCAATATCCCAACAAACCTGGGCCAATACGGGATAAACTAATACGCGCGCCACTCGAACGCACGCGATATTATTCGGAGCATTTTTATATACATTTATACTTATCCGCGATGACTACCCTTACCTTCAATAACGCTTTATCGACAACGACAGGAGACAACAATCCATGGATCGAGCATCCGATAGCTCCCCCAAAAAACGGCGAGATATGAAGTGTTAAGCGAGTTAAGCAAACCATTGCTTGATGATATATTGATAGTACATACTCAACAACGAATTCTGAACTCCAAAGTTGTCTTCCCTTTTCACTGTTAAGTGGTGCACATATCTCAGGAGGTACCATAAATATCAATGTAATGCCTCCCCAGAAGTACAATCAGGTAGAATTTAACTGAACAATATTGTGAAATTATTGTTATTAATTTTGTTGAATTAAATCAGTTTATGGCCAATAATATACAAGTAGTTAATTAGTAAAAGTGTCATTAATAATTTAATTCCACATTGGCCAAGTAATTAGGCCTCTGTCTGTCACATTGGCCCTCGGCCTGCGGCCTTTGGCCAATTGGCCTAATAAGTGGGCAAATATGGAATTAACAACCTTATAATCTTACATAAGGTCAGATGAGGAGGTATGCCGTAATCTTACATATGGAATAGTGAGGAGGTATGACGTTATCTTACATAGGGTAAGATGAGGAGGAATGACGTAATCTTACATAGGGTAACATGAGGAAATATGACGTTATCTTACATAGGGTAAGATGAGGAGGTATGACGTAATCTTACATAGGGTAAGATAAGGAGGTATGGCGTAATCTTACATAGGGTAAGATAATAAGGTATGACGTAATCTTACATAGGGTAAGATGAGGAAATATGACGTTATCTTGAAAAGGGTAAGATGAGGAGGTATGACGTAATCCTACATAGGGTATAGTGAGGAAGTATGACGTAATCTTACATGGAGTATAGTGAGGAGGTATGACGTTATCGTACATAAGGTAAGATCAGGAAGTATGACGTAATCTTACATTGGGTAAGATGAGGAAGTATGACGTGATCTTACATATGGTAAGATGAGGAGGTATGACGTAATCCTACATAGGGTATAGTGAGGAAGTATGACGTAAGCTTACATATGGTAATATGAGGAGGTATGACGTTATCTTTTACATAGGGAATAGTGAGGAGGGATGCCGTAATCTTACATAGGGTAAGATGATGAGGTATGACGTAATCTCACATAGGGTATAGTGAGGAAGTATGACGTAATCTTACATATGGTATAATGAGGAGGTATGACGTTATCTTTTACATAGGGAATAGTGAGGAGGGATGCCGTAATCTTACATAGGGTAAGATAAGTAGGTATGGCGTAATCTTACATAGGGTAAAATGAGAAAGGATGACGTAATCTTACATAGGGTATAGTGAGGAAGTATGACGTAATCTTACATTGGGTAAGATGAGGAAGTATGACGTGATCTTACATATGGTAAGATGAGGAGGTATGACGTTATCTTACATATGTAATAGTGAGGAGGTATGACATAATCGTACATATGGTAAGATGAGGAGGTATGACGTAATCTCACATAGGGTATAGTGAGGAAGTATGACGTAATCTTACATAGGGTCAGATGAGGAAATATGACGTTATCTTGAAAAGGGAAAGATGAGGAGGTATGACGTAATCTTACATAGGGAATAGTGAGGAGGTATGCCGTAATCTTACATAGGGTAAGATGATGAGGTATGCCGTAAACTTACATAGGGTAAGATAATGAGGTATGACGTCATCTTACATAAGGTAAGATCAGGAAGTATGACGTAATCTTACATAGAGTATAGTGAGGAGGTATGACGTTATCTTACATAAGGTAAGATCAGGAAGTATGACGTTATCTTATATAGGGTAAGATGATGAGGTATGACGTAATCTTACATAGGGTTTAGTGAGAAAGTATGACGTAATCATACATAGGGTAAGATATGGAGGTATGACGTAATAGTGCATAGTATAAGTTGAGGAGGTATGACGTTATCTTGAAAAGGGTAAGATGAGGAAGTATGACGTGATCTTACATAGGGTATAGTGAGGAGGTATGACGTTATCTTACATAAGGTAAGATGAGGAAGTATGACGTAATCTAACATAGGGTAAGATGAGGAGGTATGGCGTAATAGTAAATAGTATAAGATGAGGAGGTATGACGTAATCTTACATATGGTAAGATGAGGAGGTAAGACGTAATCTTACATAGGGTAAAATGAGAAAGTATGACGAAATCTTACATAGGGTAAGATGAGGAGGTATGACGTTATCTTACATAGGGTAAGATGAGGAAGTATGACTTAATCTTACATAGGGTATAGTGAGGAGGTATGACGTAATCTTAAATAGGGTGAATTGAGGCGGTTAGACGTTATCTTACATAGGGTAACATGAGGAAGTATGACGTAATCTTACATAGGGTATAGTGAGGAGGTATGACGTAATCTTACATAGGGTAAGATAAGGAGGTATGACGTAATAGTAAATAGTATAAGATGAGGAGGTATGACGTAATCTTACATATGGTAAGATGAGGAGGTAAGACGTAATCTTACATAGGGTAAAATGAGAAAGTATGACGAAATCTTACATAGGGTAAGATATGGAGGTATGACGTAATAGTGCATAGTATAAGATGAGGAAATATGACGTTATCTTACATACGGTATAATGAGGAGGTATGACGTTATCTTACATAGAGTATAATGAGGAGGTATGACGTTATCTTACATAAGGTAATATGAGGAAGTATGACGTAATCTTACATTGGGTAAGATGAGGAAGTATGACGTAATCGTACATATGGTAAGATGAGGAGGTATGACGTTATCTTACATTGGGTATAGTGAGGAGGTATGACGTTATCTTACATAGGGTATAGTGAGGAGGTATGACGTTATCTTACATAAGGTAAGATGATGAGGTATGACGTAATCTTACATAGGGTATAGTGAGGAGGTATGACGTAATCTTACATAGGGTAAGATAAGGAGGTATGACGTAACAGTACATAGTATAAGATGAGGAGGTATGTCGTAATCTTACATAGGGTATAATGAGGAGGTATGACGTTAATTTACATAAGGTAAGATGAGGAAGTATGACCTAATTTTATATTGGGTAAGATGAGGAAGTATGACGTAATCTTACGTAGGGTATGATGAGAAGGTATAAGAGGATATTTAATGGTGTCTTCAGTAATAACAAATATATTTCACGAGCGTGGCTATTATTTTGATATTTTTCACGAGTGTGCAGCACGAGTGAAACATTTCAAAATATTAGCCACACGAGTGAAATATATTTGTTATTACTTAAGATACCATTACATTTTCTATTTATTACATTTTTAAAGCATAAAACATGAAAAATGTAATGCATTAAAAAAGGGCGGGAATCAGAAGCGTAATAATTATCGCCATATTCTAATGACGTCACGCTAACAACAAGGCTGGGATACTCAACGCGATTCCGACGTTTTCTTCTTTTATCTGTTGTGCTTGCTTAGGAAAATGTTATTAATTGTATATTCATGTAAATACTTAAGTGTGTGTACCAAACATTTACCATAACAACCACTTATTCTACCGTCGCTTCATTTGAATCTGAACAAATAAATCGTTGGCTTTGAATGCAGCGAATAGAAGATACCATTATGATTGGTCAATACCAAAAAGTGATATTTTCACAGTGTGAAAATATCACTTTTGATATTTGTCACAGTGTGAAAGATATCAGTTTTATCAAGTTTATATTTTATTTATATTTTTATAGAATCCGATATTTCACTGGCAAAAATGTAATAAATGACGTTATCTTACATAGGGTAAGATGAGGAGGTATGACGTTATCTTACGTAGGATACTATGTGGTGATATGAGGTTATCTTACATGGGGTATAGTGAGGAGGTATGACGTTATTTTACATGGGTAAGATGTGGTGGTATGACGTTATTTTACATGGGTAAGATGTGGTGGTATGACGTTATTTTACATGGGTAA